TATATATATATATATTCCTCTATAATTTGTTGGGGAGAGAATCTATGGATACTATATACTTCGAAGCACATCTAATTATATTTCAACACTACATATATAAATATATACGTACGATTGAAAGCTAATGCGCTGATGTCGATTGTCCGCGGCCTCGGTAGTCCCGTTGGTTTGGCTTGACGTTGCTGGAACAATGGGCATGGTAAATGGCGCCATCGGTCGACTTGACAGCGGCGACGGCGGAGGCGTCACCGCGGCCGTGAGTGGCGTGGAGAGCGACTGGAGCGCTGTGACGGTGCACACGTGAAAGCGCGTGCCAATTCGCAACTGGTATGGATTACTCGCCACCTATTTACCATGCTGTATGACTTTACCATCAAATAGTGTGAGGTACCGTCTCGCCGGCCTCGCCATCCTCGATAAACACTAGACACCCGAGCACGTACGCCGGCTTGCGGTTGCCGCGGTTGGCGGCTTGGATGGACTCGGCCGAGAGGTAGTAATGCGGACAGCCTTCGTGGAACGCAATGTAGTCGCCGAGGGGCGTCGGCACGAAAAGCGCGACTCCGCCCAATGGAAAGCTATTTTTCATGTACAGCACAAATAACAATTAAAAATTAATCCAATATAAGTATTAAAAAAATCAATTTTTATATATTTTTTTAAATTCTATTTATATTTTTATTAAAAAATTCAATTTATATATTTATTAAAAAAATCAATTTATATTTTTATAAAAAACAAAACTATTTTATTAAAACATACATATTTTAATATTTTAAAAATCCGACACAACTCTCTCATCTTGTCAAATCCATATTCCAATTTGGACTGCCCAGTAGAATATCGATAATGAAGTAGGCAACTAACAGTTGAGAATGACCACCTAGCCAATCAAATATTTACACTATGGAGAAATCGTTGAAATACCGATCATTCATCATGATAGTTTACTGTTAATACGAGTCTTTTATAATATATATATATACCATACATTCAGCTACAAATCAGACACAAATCGATTCGTTAAGCACGTGCCACTCGTCCATATATTTTCAACGAAAACGGCAATAAATATATATATATATATATATATATATATATATATATAC